AATCATTTATTGATACAGAACATAGCATTTCAGAAAACAAATCATTTCTTGTCGTATCATATCATATCATATAGAAAAAATATTTAAATATGACAATAGCTTTACAAAATTATTACTCACTAATGGCTCCAAAAGCAAAACAAATATAGCAGACGGATCAGGCGAGTTATGGAGCGTGACCTACACAAACACAGAATGAATACACATTGAATCACACACCCAGAATTCTTTAACTTAAATCTTGTCTTATCTTGGTGTGTTTCTAATCCTTATCCTCATTATTATGTCTTAATTAGGACTTAGGAATACCTATGATACAATGAGCATGCCAAAATGTACTTTGTAACACTTAGCAAAATTTGCTGAAAACAGGGCCTTCGCTCGAGCGGGGGTTCAAAAATAAGAGTGGGCACTCGAGCGCAACTTCGGTTTCTCGAGCGATCTATAAACTCTACAAAAGTACTGGTTACATGAATTTTATGCTCAAGCCAACTTTTTGTCGTTCAAGCAAAAATGCAAAATCAAGAGTGGTCGCTCGAGCGTAGAATCCGTCACTTGAGCAGTGAGGCAGAATTCTGGAATTTCCAGATTTGTTCCCAAGCTTCAAAACTCAAATTCAAAGGTTCAAAACAGGTTCTTTAGGACCAAAAGCTTAAGGGAACATGTGTAAACTTGTAAAACATTGTGAATTCAAAATCATTTCGCAAAATCAAAGCCCAAAAGCATGCCAATTATTCAAATTACGCTTGAAACTTTGAAAACATAACACATATGTATTCTCTTGAATTCAAACTTTTCAAATCTTGGTAGAATGAGATGTTTAGTACAAAAAGGAGTTGAATTCTCATAACAAGTCTAAAATATGAACATGCATGTAGGAAACCTTGAAAACAACTTCCAAAACACCATGAAATGCTATGGTATGACTTATATTCCCTTAATTCTAGCTCAATTCTCATACTTAGTCACACGAAATTTTTGAATTCTATTCATTAACAACTTAAATACAAATATTGGGAATCAATTACTCACCTAAGATCCTCAATTGAATTCTAGATTGCTATGTCTTTGAGCTTCTAAGTCAATTTCCTCTAAATTGCTAGCAATTCCCTTGTTGAATTCAAGTCTCTCCCTTCCTTCATCTCTTTTACGTTTATGTCATCAAAGTAATGAAATGTGCATATATGTGTGCATTCTAGAATCATATGGGCCTTTTATAGGCTTGATTAGGAAACTTCCTTAGTGATTAATTAAATGACATTATTTATTTTAATTATTTGGTTCCAAATCGAATTTAAATTGAACCTACCATAAAATTCTAAAAAGTCCAAATAACACATACCCTAAGTCAATTTCTTGATCGGATTTTGATGAGACCTTTAATTCGCAGAATAAAACAGAAACACAAATAGATATTTCTACGACAAACAGATTCAAATGAAAATAACATATAATACATGTAATTAACACATGATTTCCTCTTAATTACTTATTAGGCATCCTTAATCATGCTTTAACAGTTAATCATAGGTCGGGGTTATTTCAGTGACTAGATGGTAGTAGGAAATAGGGCTACAAATGAGCCAAGCTGCAAATGAGTCGACCCCAGTTTTGCTGAGCTCGAGCTCGAGCTCGAACTCAGCTCAATAACTAATTAGGCTCGGCTCGACTCGTTAATATTAATAAAATTTAAACTTGGCTTGGCCTGATAAGATTTTTTTATTATTTATATTATTTAAGTAATGTATTTATGCTATTATTTATATATTATTTAATATATAAATAATGTATTTATCATATAATTTAAATAAAGATAAACTAGTTGAGTTTATGCAAGCTCGAACTTGGCTCGTTTACTAAACGAGCCTAATATTCAAGCTCGAGCTCAACTTGTTTACTAAACAAAACAAGTTGAGTCGAGCCCTTAATGAGCCAAGCTAAGCTAGCTCGCGAACAACTCAATTTGTTTGCAGCCCTAGTGGAAAGGGAATTATGGTGGCAAAAGAGTGGTGGGTAGAGAAGGCATGTGGATGACGAGATTGTGGCATGAAATGGATTGAGATCGCTAAAGGGTGATGGGATTGTCACAACCCAGATTTACAAAATTTGACCCACGAGAATTTATTATAAACAATATGGAAATGATAATATTTAATATAATTAAATGGTCACTTTTGTATATATATGTATCAAAGCCATTCAAAATGAATGTACAATATGTAATCCAAAATCAATGGCAATAAATATAATTAAAATGTTCTTAGGTTTACATCAAAGAAAAGGGTACAACCCTCACAAAAGATGGCACTCGGCCTACAAATAAAGAGCTTAAGGCCTACAAAATCAAAAGAGTTCTCTTCTATGCACATATCCCACGTCTTGCCTCAAGGTCGGGGTATATCACCAATACTTGAAAAAAGATTTCGATCACATAAGTTCCTTTCGATTAGAAATCAGTAAATTTGAGGGTGTTTAGATGATGTTTAGTAATGGTCACTAGAAGAGTGATTCTTCTAATAGCTCACTAGTCTAGGTGGTGCTTAGCGATGACCACTGAAAGATACATGTACTTGAGAGGATTCACCAAGTTAAAATTAGTGAAATTGAGAAACATTATTTTAATAGAAATTTTTGGTTTAGTCATCGAAATTGATATAAACTTTTTGGCGAAATAGGAAATCATTTTGAGCATATTATGTATATGTAGCATCATGATCATTATTCACCCAAAAAAGGCATCATGATCATGTGCATGTGTAGAGACATATTATCTTGTGAAAAATTATCCTACTCGTGCGGGTTTTTGATCTTTTGTCATGGACTATCAAGCTAAATTATTCTCATCTATACATGACCCGAATTCACCATTTACATTCAATTAAAACTATGTTGTTTAAATGTAATAATGCAACAAGTGCCATTATTCAGTTCTAATAAAATATGCTCAACTCACCTTCGTCCAACAACGGATTTTCATTCTATGAATTCAACAATTCATTGTGTATTAAAAATAGGTTTTGTCATCCTATTGTGTTAATCTCTGCAACAATGCCATTCTCCACCAATAGCCAACAACAATATCTAACAATGCTATAATTTCACAAATTATACATATTTATCTCCAATTTCAAGATAATAGCATAAATTCCCCATTCATGAAATTTCCCAAACTAGGGTTTTCACAAAATTAGGACTTTCTCAAATTAGAACACCCTCATGTTATTTTTATACAATGATTATAGAGAAATACTCAATTATTACTAAACCCTAACATTCTAATGTGCAATTTCTCAAATCTCTACCAATGTCCCAAAATTATCTATCAAAATATCCACACATATACCCATAAGTCCATATTAAACAAGTGAAAGGAAATCCTACCTCAATAGGAGAAGAGGAGAAACATAACTTCTCAAAAATGTCCAAATCAAATTTCGGCTTGGATAATCTTGAAGTCCTCTCGAGCTCTACGATGTAAATATTTGGGTCAGAGATCGGTTCCGATTCTAAAAGCACTAATTATAAGGTTGAATTTGGGAGTTATAGTGAAGAGAGAGAGAGTGAGCGAAAGAAATAAGTGAGAATAGTGGGAGAGATCTTAGACAATAAAAAGGGATTTCAAAATGCTAGGCTGGAAGGCTATCATGTCGCAAGTTTCCAGGCTTGGCCGCACGTACGGAGCATTTACCTGTACTTGTGATTTCATGTAGCCCAAAATTCCAAAAATGCATTTCCATCATATGTGCGCCACTTTCAGCCTCACGTATAGGACCCACGTTGCACGTGTGAGACTCTACTTAGAATCTCCCTTTCTTACTACACTAATCTGCACATTTAGGATATCTCTCATCACACTTGTGGCCATACTTGGTGAAATATGATTCTATAGCGATTCTGGTTTGGACCCGAACCATTTGATGTTTTGGATTCGGGTTTCATTGTCTTATATAGTTATTCATGCCTTGTTTCTCCTTATCTCTTTTTGAGTATGGCTATTGGGATGTGTTGGTTGCGTTTGGAACTAGTTAATAGCTTGTTTTTCAAGCTGTTGTTGCCTAGAATTTTGTTCCTTCACTTGAGTGACACTTCTTGCACTCTAGTGGTCTTTGCGAACCTCTAGTACTTTTGCAGGTCTGTAGAGATACTGGAAGTTGGTATTTTTCGCTCGAGCGGTGATTTTTGTGCTCGAGTGTGGGTCTTCTATCTGTAAAACTTCTGGGAGTTTGTATTCTTCGCTTGAGTGAAACTTCTTGCGATCGGTGTAACTTATTGTGTCTGGTCGCTTGAGCGACACTTCTTGCACTCGAGTGATCTGCATGTATATCAGTTCGTAAAGTCTCTTTTCTGAGTCACTTTTTAATCTCTCTCTCTCTCTAAACATTTCAAAACCTAATTTTCTCTCACTCACACTCTCTCTCTAAAACTCATCTATTTCACTCAAATCTGCCTAGATCTATCAAATTTCAACCAGTTAAATGCCATGTAGGCTTACATCTTTCCAAGTCATTGCTTGTTTACACAAATTGAGTCTCGTTCATTACATCTTAAGCCCTTGGCTTTACAAATAACAAACATACACACATAAGGCATAAATAAGATGCCCTTGCTTCCCAAAAGTCCACCCATGCTATTGCCTTGGAGGAAATAATTCACCTGCACCTGAAAATGATATTCCCGTATAGGGTGAGCCAACAACTCAGTAGAAATAATCTAACACAATATATGAGGTTTAGCAAAGGTATAAATACCACGTATATAAACAATACCGATACAGAAGTATTCACAAGGCCTGCATAGTCATATGCCACTAAGATCAATCTTATTCCATTTTCCTTCAATTCATTTCCAATTCATTTCCAATTCCATTTTCCTTCAACAACCAATATGAGATTACAACTCAATAGTTTTTCCGTTTATGCAAAACACACATAAACACTTCAAATCTGCCATTTTATGGATATGCGTTATGTACTTATGCTGCATGACATACAATTTCCTAATCAAACACCCTTCAAGATGGTTAGAACTGCATCTAAACAATGTAGATTGATTGAAGCATAGAAATCATAATACCTTGTTTGCTGCCTTGTTGCCAAGACCAAATTTGTTTGTAGGTTTTCCATCAGGGATCGTTTAGTCTCTGAACCAGTCTCTGACTACAATGAGAGTGCCCTAGAGAAGTTACCCAGTCAGGCTCGTGACAATTACTCACAACAATTAATTTACATAGGTGCCAAATCAATTTTTAAGAAGCCTATGTCAACTTATATTTCTATTAACCAGGGACTACCATAGTTTGCTAATAAATAGAACACCTTGGCCCTGATTACCGACATTGCAATGTAATCAGAATGATGTACATATGCACCGCTGATTACTAACATTGAAATCTAAATCACACCTTCATTCACATTGCTTGAATTTAATGGCTTTGAGTAACCAACACCGTAAAATATTGACTTTCACACCAATCATTGGTCATGCCCTTATTAAGATAATTAAAAATAAAAGGAAGAAGAAAAGGAAGAAAAATGTTGTATAGCTCAAATGTACTTAAGACATAGATATTGTATATAATAAAACCAGTACATTGCTAGTGCTTCTGAGACTATATTTGTCTTACAAAATTCCATACCTTCTAGTGTTGTACACATTATCACATTACCATTATTAAAATTAATAACTAAAACATTTTGTGCAATGAGTAAGTTCGACCAACCCAACGAATGCTCATCCTAACTAATTGGTGTAGGCTTATTATTATACAAGGAGATGTTAACCAGTTATAGATCCATCCCCCGAAGGAACCAGACAAACAAAGAGCATGAGAGCAGATGATATGTCACAGATGTTACAAAAGTCTTAGCATGTATATCTATAATGAACTCTCTTTTTTTTTACTAGTATTTAGAAGAAACTAAAATAAATTATTGCTTAGTTCAACAAAAACATTACCGGCAAATGCTTGTCCACGTCGTCAATATCATTAACAAGTGAAGCTCTTGGATCATCCAATGAAATTGCAACTATTTTCCAGTCAAGTTCCCCTTCATCAAGCATTGCCAAGGCAGCTAATGGCTTGACCTTCATAATCTGTCCTATCTTTCCACGAGTTTGACCAATCTCAACAACATCAACTACAATTTGAAGAAATTGGCAAATTAAATTCAATTATTTTATTCTTTTGCTTTTAGTAGAAGAGAATGCTTAGTAAATAGGTAAAATGAAATGAATGATCAACTAGTACCTGGATCGTTATCTCCAAGTGCCCCCTCAACTTCAGAGTTTGCAAATGATGGGTCTTCCCACATTTGTGGAAACAATCCATAATTCCAATTTATATTGTAACTGAGAAAGATAAAATAAAATGATTCAGGAGCTTAGACTTTAAGAAGCTCAAATTCCAATATAAAAATTATGGAGAAAGTCATGTAAAGAGAGAATCCAGGGTTTTGTGATTAGATCAACAGTGGCAAGAAGTACCAGAGATCTAGCAAACATCAATTTGTTAAAAGAAATAAAAGGATAAACAAGTTGGCTTAAAAGTTCTCATATTAAAGTTTTAAACGATAAAATGAAAATAAATTCACTCTATAAGAGCATGCAAATGACATGAAGGTCGCTAAAGCTAGTTCATTTTTTGACACTGATTATATATCTCAGGTTTTCAAGGAAATATTCCCTAGGACCAGCTTACATAGCCTATTTATTTGACCTCCTCTCCAAAATCTAAGTTGATTATTAGGATTTAGAGCAATTACCCAACTGCTAAAAATAGTCTCAATGGAATAAAACTAGCATAATGTTTAAACCCAGCAGATTTCAGCATCTGATATCCACCATTTCCACCTTCTTGATCGATTCACATTAAGAAATATTTTTTTATGCCAAAATCGGATTACAATTAAAGGACCATGTACGAACGACATTACTCAACATATGTGAAGCCTATAGGCTAGGGTGCTTGCCATTTGATAGAAATGCCACAAATCACCCTCAGAGAAGCAAACATCACTAGGTAAAGTTTGACAGAAATAACATGAGGGCACTAGGATTATCAATATGGATGAATTCTATACTCCAAATTCTCATATGAGACCAGTAATACTCAACTCCCAACAAATGAAAACGTATTTAGATGCTTAGTTGGACATGCATCAGCGAAAAAATTGAGCAGTCTGTCTGATAGCTTAAACAGATGCTTATACATGAAAACGAACAACAGTGCCTGATTCAAGCCCTTATAGAACAACAAAACTATGCATGAAGAAGTTATGAAACAAGAAAAGAAGGGGAAAGGAAAAGTGAAGGTAAAATGGCACATCTTACGGATAATATCGAAGTTTTCCTTTCTTTGTATATTGCTTTATGGGAGTGTATGACTCGTCAGTAGCAACCTCCATCTTTGCACTTGTTTCTTTGGGTATTTCAACAATGAAATTAAAAACACCATCACCTAAGTGTAATGGTATATCATGCCAGGGAGAAACCTGCAAAGTAAGCAAGCACTTGCAAGTAAATATATGCCTTACTAACAAATAAATATTTGAAAATGTAAGAAAAAACCCATATTAACAAAAAATTGACACAAATTAACAATTGCACACCAAACTAGGATTACATTTCTAATCTCAATTTACTTGGAAGATGAAGAAAGTATAGGCATACCATGGCACATAGACCTCGGAAGGCATCCTCCTCAATATCATCACGTATCCTGCCACAATTTGCTAATGACATAAGGCTGCAAGTAGAGTGATAGTGATATAGAAACGCTTACACTTGGCAAGGCTATGTCTGGCCAACAAATTTTAATGCACAGGGTACATCCACAGCACATGCAATACAACAAGCTTCTCCATAATGACAGTCTATGAAGATAAAATTATGAACACATTGACAGATTTACCATAATCTAGGGACAATAGGTTTGTCTTTTCCTGACACAATGAATGAGGATGTAAAAAACAATTAAATGACAATGTGCAACAATATATAAATGGCCATCAGAAATCAGAATTTATTTGCATCATTTCATTTTCATAGAGCATCATTTAGCAAAAACTAAAAACATATTGCACACACACAGAGAGAGAGAGAGAGAGAGAGAGAATTAGAGAAGGGGGAATACCAAACTCTCTATCCCACTACCAAGACCTTCAACAAGTCCAGAGAGCAAGTCCAAAGAGCACGCAATGAATTCTTTATCTTATCATACTGAACCCCAACTGAAATAAGACCGACCTGCAGCCACAGTGTCAATCAACACGTACATGATGCTCACAGTATAAGAATTCAAATTTCAGGGGGAAAAAATGTGTTTGTGAACCAAGATAAGGAATGCAACCAGCAAAGCAAACTGCAGAATTCATGCTTACATATTGAACAAAGCAGCTTGGAGTCTAGGCTTGAAGTTCATGTATTTGACATAATACAAGTTTGGCAAAGCTCTAAACAAACCGAAGCTAGAGCTTCTCAAAGCAGCTCAATTCATCTTATAGTCTGCTCATTGAGAGGCAATTGCATAGCATGGACGATAGCACCTAAGCAAAAACTTGTAGCCTAACCTAGGAAACCTAGGCCATTAGTAGGTTAGTGAAAAACAGTAAGTGGATTGCAATAGATTGTCTTTAATTTATTGAAAGCAAAACTTTCTATACTAATTGTCAACCTAAAAGGATAATCAATACATCGCTGCCAACTCTTCCATAATAATCATTTTATTCTATTCCATCTCATTTTAGTAAATCTAATAAAACATTATAATATTAAGCTCACAAGTGATAACTTGGAACTAAATTCAACCGTTGTGATAGAAACTAATTGTAATAGACTCTACTTCCAATATTAAAATAAAATACAAAATATAATTAAAAAAAACACAATATTTTAGAATTATTGGGAGAGAAACAAAAAAAAAATGAAAAAGAAGAACACATAAAGGATGGGACTTTTGAGTCATCAAATCCAAAGTCTTAACACAGAGAAGGGGGTTCAGGGGGAAAAAAATAGGGGGTTCACTTAGATATATCACTCAAAAACTTTTGATATAAATATCAGTTTCAAACATCATGCTGGATGTCCAAGTCTTTTCAATCAAACAACAAAGAATGATTTTCATCATTTGTAAGTAAACCTTAAATGAATAAGCTGTAAAGAAAAAAAATGCCCACTATATATTGACTAAGATACAATTTGTTTACATATACAGAACTCACTTAAACTACACTCAATTAAGTATACATTTTCATACCTTAGATTTCTTAAGTATACACCTTTTGAAAGCAGCCTTAGATTTCTTTTGTTTAAGCTTGGTAAGGTTTATTATTTGTTACTAGACCAAGAGTATAAATTTCTATTCCAAATTTTATAGCTTAATGTTGGTGGAATGCCTCTTTATTCATGGTTGAGACACTAACAGATTTTGTTCTTTCTATTTTCGGAGGCATATTAGCAAACAGGTGGTGTGTATAATTTACACATAAATTAAATTAAAGAAAAAGAACTTGGAAATGAACAAATTGAATCAGAATCAAAATCAAAATCAAAATCACATAGGAGATAGACGACTTTAACCAACCCTAGCCTTAAAAAAATCACTTGTTAGGGTTTCGAAAATTAGAAGGAGAGGGAAAGGGGCAAAGTGAGAGCAACAAACAAGTGAGAGACAGAGAACTTAACAGATAGTCGTAGTCATCGGTGGTAGTCGCACTCGCGGTGGCGGGCTTTGTCTTTGTGTTTAGAGTCTTCGTCCTCGGTGGGCTTGAAGGATGGGGGCTTGAATGCAGGGGGCTTCGGAGGGAGGTTTCCCAATTTTTTTCTGAATATCGTCCCATTGAGTCGAAACTCCTTCCACGTCCTTGTACACGAAGTGATAGTTCGCCATTTTTGAATCTCCGATCAACTCTCTCTTTCTCTCTCTCCATTTCTCTCCCTATAGTATCGTATTTTGGGGATTTTTTTGTTAGGGATTGGGGATTTGAGATCGTGAGAAACAAAAGGGGGAATTAGAAAGAGTGGGAAAACGGGGAATTAGAAGGAGCAGGAAAACGAAAACAAAAAGAAGAGGAGAGGTAGGATAATTTATTTATTTTTTGTTAATATATATATATATATATTTTTCTTTTGTAGTTGATGAATTTTGAATTTTTTTTTTTCATTTTTTTTTAGTTACTAAGGTTGAAAATTTATTTGTGTTTTATTTTTAATTTAATGATTTTTTTTATTTGGTTGAAGTAGGGGTAATATTTTAATGAAAAATATTTTCAGTTAAAATAAATTTAATTTTTTGTGGTCAATCAAAAATATTTTTTTGCGACCCATTTTTTTTTGTTATTAAAAACCAGGAATTAATTTTTTTTGGTAGAGGAGAGAGAACGACAATAGTGGTGAAGGTGGTGGATAAGAAGTGGTGGTGGTGGTGGTAGCGGCGGCAGTGATGACAAAAGAGATTAGTGGTGAAGTTGTGGTAGTGGTAGAGGAGATGGAATGGTGGTGGTGAAGGAGAGGTAATGGCAGTAATAGTGACAATAGTGGTAGTGGTGGTAGTGGTAATAGAATAGTGGCAATGGCGGTAGTAATGGTAGTTGTAGAGGTTGAGTGGCAACAGTAGTAGTGGTGGTGGTAGTGGAATGGCATTTGCAGTAGTGGTAAATGTGATAAAGGAGATGGGTGGTGAGAGAGGGAGAAATGAGTGAGCAACATATAGAGAAGAGAGATAGAGACAGAGACAGTGATAAGCGAGAGAGAGAGAGACAAAATGGTCGCTAAAAGTGCATTTTCTTGTAGTGGATCGATAAATTGAGAGGGAGCTCGGTAAATAGAGAAGCAGGGAGAGAGAGAGTGAGAGTGAGTAAGGCAAACATAGTGGGAAAGAGAGAGAGTGTGAAAGAGAGAGAAACAAGATATGAGCGATAGAGAAAGAGAGCGAAAAGTGGTAAACGAGAAAGATACATAGAAAAAGAGAGAGAGATAAAGAGAAGAGAGATGAACGAAAGAGACAAAGAGAGATACAGAGAAAAGAGATGAATGAGAGAGACAAAGAAGCAAAGATGAGAGAAAAATAAAGAGAAAAGAAATGAGTGAAAGAGAAGAGAGATGAGCGAGTGACATAGAGAGAGAGAGACAGACAGATAGACAGAGAGAGAAGAGGGATGAGTAAGAGAGAGAAAGAGAAAAGACAGAGACAGAGACATGAAGATGAAAAAATGGGTGAAAAGAGACATGTTATATCAAAAGAGTAAGACGACGTCGTTTTTTTTAATTTTTTTTGCGACAGAAAAATATCGTTGCATTTATTCAAACCATTTTGTGACTGGATACAGGGACAGACGTGTGGAGAGACCATGAGAGGCCATGGCCCTCCCGCCTGTCTGGAGAGTGCCACTGCTATGGTTAGTTATTTGAAAGTTGAATACAATTTTTATTAAATGTGACCCTTCTGCTTTGAATGGATATGGTCCCATCCCTTTTTGATTGCCCACGTCATTTTATTAACAAGGAAAAAATTGTGTATTTGAAATTTTTATTTATTTGTTTCTTACAAGATTCATAATATAATTTATACTGAGCATATTTTTAGGTTGTATTTGGTTTATAAATTTGAAAAGAAAAAGAGAAAATTTGTGTACAATGTAAGTGAAATATAATTATATTTCATTTATTTATTTATTTTTTTATTATTATTTCTCTTTCCAAATCAATGAACCAAACATAAGGATATAAAAAGAGAAATGTTATTCCACACTATGTGGATGCGTATGTAAATTATTACGTGAAAAATTACATAACTCACATTACACATACGAAAAAGAGAAATTCTCAAATAAGTGCATATTGTGCATTACGATTTGGAATAACCAAAATGAAGATTACTAGCCTCATTTAAATGGCAAATTTTTCAACAGCTTGACATCTCACAAATAAATTTGAGTCATTCTTTCCATGACATTACCTATTATGACCATGAATATTATTGTTATACAACAAATGTAGAGCAAATTTTATTAGAATAAAAAAAACTCACCATGACATTACCTATTTTGACCATGAGTCATTTTCTGCCATAGCAAAAACTCACATTTTTAGCGATAGCAAATTGGGCCGTCGCAAAAACTTACATTTTTCGCGACAGTAAGTTGTGTCGTCGCAAAAAGTCACTTTTTGAGACGGCAAGTGTGCCGTCGCAAATACTTCCGTCTTTTAAGCCCACTTTTCTTGTAGTGTTCGGCGACTACATTGTTGTAGTAGCCAAAACTCAATATACAGTGACTAAAATATTTTTAGTCGCTAAAAATAAGTTTTTTGGCGACCAAAATTTTGGTCACCAAAAGATAAAAAATAAATTTTTATTTTCCATTCGGCGACTACATTGTTTTAGTAGCCAAAACTCAATATACGGCGACTAAAATATTTTTAGTCGCTAAAAATAATTTTTTTTGCAACCAAAATTTTGGTCGCCAAAAGATAAAAAATAATTTTTTATTTTCCATTTGGCGACTACATTGTTTTAGTAGCCAATACTCAATATATGGCGACTAAAATATATTTAGTCGCTAAAAATAAGTTTTTTTGCGACCAAAATTTTGGTCGCCAAAAGATAAAAAATAATTTTTTATTTTCCATTCGGCGACTTCATTGTTTTAGTAGCCAAAACTCAATATACGGCGACTAAAATATTTTTAGTCGCTAAAAATAAGTTTTTTGGCCACCAAAAGATAAAAAATAATTTTTTATTTTCCATTTGGTGACTACATTGTTTTAGTAGCCAAAACTCAATATATGGCGACTAAAATATATTTAGTCGCTAAAAATAAGTTTTTTTGCGACCAAAATTTTGGTCACCAAAAGATAAAAAATAATTTTTTATTTTCCATTCGGTGACTGCATTGTTTTAGTAGCCAAAACTCAATATATGGCGACTAAAATATTTTTAGTCGCTAAAAATAAATTTTTTGGCCACCAAAATTTTGGTCGCCAAAAGATAAAAAATAATTTTTTATTTTCCATTCGGCGTCTACATTGTTTTAGTAGCAAAAACTCAATATACGGCGACAAAAATATTTTTAGTCACTAAAAATAAATTTTTTTGCGACCAAAATTTTGGTCACCAAAAGATAAAAATTAATTTTTTATTTTCCATTCGGCGACTACATTATTTTAGTAGCCAAAACTCAATATACGGCGACTAAAATATTTTTTGTCGCTAAAAATAAGTTTTTTGGCAACCAAAATTTTGGTCGCCAATTCCACAACCAACTTATTTTTGATCTTCCGCGACCAACTTATTTTTTGATCGCCAAAATGTGGCATTCCACGACCAAATTTGTAGTTGGTCACCAAAACCATACCACTTTCTGCGACCAACTCATTTTTTGGTTGCCAAAATATGACCTTCTGCGACCAACTCATATTTGGTCGCCAAAAATAATGATCATTCGCGACTAATTAATATTTGGTCGCCAAAACGTAACTTTTAGCTACCAACTTTTATATTGGTCGCGGAAAGTGGTCGTTAAAAGTGCAGATTCTTGTAGTGCCACTAAGGTTTCATCTGGAAACATACTTTTTTAGTAACTTTTTAGTTTTTTAACTAAAATATGATGTAAAAAAAGTTAGTATATTTGGGATAAATTTTTGATTTTTTATGAAAGAAATATTCAAAAAAATAAAGAGAAAATGAAATTTTTGACTTTTTTATATAAATTGTTAACTTTTTAATTTTTTTAATAACTTTTTAACTTTTAGGTTAAAAAGTGATATTGCCAAACGAGACCTAAGTGTGTATATAATAATAGGAACTAATGGCCCAAAATTAATGGCTCAAGCCTTGCTTTTTGCTTCAAACGTCGCCCTAAAAACTCAAACTCATGTCCTCTTGATCACGATTCACGAACTATGCTACCACCCTCAGGTCTTGATGAAACAAGTTAATGAAAATCCATTTTACCTAGGGCAAAATCTGTTTAAACAAAATATTAAGAATATTGTATACCCAAGGTTGGTTGATGACTCACAATAAAGTTGCAACTAAAATGTTATTCAAAAGGTAGATGGACCAACAATGTCAAAAATAAATAAAAAGTGCAAATTTTATAAAATTACCAAATCCAAAAGAAAGGAAAAGTCACATCTGAGGAGTGAGGATGGATCACATTAATGAGTGAGTGGCATTCAAATTTACAAGTAGCACACTTAAAACCACAGCAAACAGATGAGATTTGGAGGTCATATCTTCTTACTAATCTCATTGAGTTAATCACATTCACATGAACTGTACTACCACTACTACTACAGCATGTGTGGATGAGATAAGACAAAGCAACAAGTGAATATGCAAATTAGGTAGTTTGTCTTTTTTTGGAAATGAAGGAGTGACAGAAGAACTTTGTTGCATGTGGGGACTATACATTTGGTGTATGTACCTCAACTATGAAAATGATATATCATCTAACTATTGGCTATCAAGGGTATTATAATATAAATCTTAGCATATATAACCAACAGATTAATCAATTGATCAGAATTCTTACACTTCACTAAAAGATCAATTGTTTAAATCTTCTCACATATGTGTTGATATTTTTTTTTCAGTTGTATTTATTTTTGTTTTTGTAATTGATTGAGTTTCATTAAAATATCATATATTAAAAAAAAAAAAAAACTAAATTATATATCATTTTTTTTTCCCGAAAACAATCTGATTGTACTCTAATCTCCTTTTGGTACTATGGAAGCCATATAGGCATGGAAAATTTAGCTGAATCACTTCAATTTGTGTGTCATATTTTTATTTTTATTTTATTAATCTTTCTTGTTATTGTGTATAAGATTTATTCCTCAACAACATATATTATATAAAAGCAGATATTAGAGGAAGGTAGATACAATATAAAGAGGGAAAAATTGCCAGATATAATACATTGGTGACAGTGAATGAAAAGGATGGTTCAGGAGACCATTTTGTTTTGTCACTGAGACCAGACAAAGACACAGGACCAC